AGGTAAGTTCTTGTAGGAGTCTTTGGAAATGTTTTTCTCAAAAAGAAAAACAAAGAGACAAACAAAGCAAGTCTGTAAAAATAATATTTCTTTTTATAAATCTCATATGAATATATCTAAATGTTTGTCTCTGGTATTGTCGTGTAAGTGACAATAAGTTCCCAACCATAATGTGGGTAAAATAATTTTTAGGTAAAATAAAATATTTTAAAATATTACAAGTATTGTTTAAACAGTGCAGGAAACTTTTTTTAACAATCGAATATAGGCATATAGACAGGCTCAAATATGACTTCTCCTGCTGGTCAAATTTCAGAGTACAATATCTTACCACCTGTCTTCTTGAACTTCCACTTTCTTAAAAAAAAACTGTTTTTGCTTTCCTCTAACTATTTGCTTCTGTGCATAAATAAATGACTTAATCACTAGAAGTCTTAATGCACCAACAGGTCCATTATCCCTTGTAAACATTATGGAAGAAAAACAAAGTGGTCTCAGTAGTATGTTCAGCATAAAATGCAGCTTCTGTGGTCACCTAAATGAAGTAAAATCCTCTGCTGAACACCGAGCTGGTTGCCGTGGTCCTCTTGTTAGTGATGTCAACACAAGGGCAGTATTGGGATCCCTTCATGCTGGCATAGGGAATACCCACCTAAATAATTTACTCTCCACAATGAATGTACCAACAATGAATCATAAACTGTTTACAAGAGGAGAAAGAGAAGTTGGAAATGCTCTAGAGATGGTTGCTACAGAAAGCTGTAAATTTAATTTAAATTTAGAAAAAAAAAATTGCTGAGAAATCTTCTAGCCCATCTGCAGACAGTCTCTATGGAATAGCTGTCTCTTATGATAAGGGTTGGCAAAAAAAGGGAAGAGGAAACAACTCTGCAACTGGTCATGGGGCTGCCATGGGTCTTGCTACTGGAAAAGTTGTGAGTTACTCCACAAGATGCAAGATGTGTCGAGTATGTAGCCATGATAAATTAACTGGAAAAGAAAAAAAGCATGATTGTCGAAAAAATCACAATGGATCATCAAAATCAATGGAAAGGGATGTTGCCTGTGAACTGTGGAGAAAAGCTCCTCAATCCGGAGTCAAATTTTCAATTTATGTAGGGGATGATGACTCAACAACCCTTGCAGACATTAAGAACAAAGTCCCTTATGGTGTTGAGAAATGGTCCGATG